ACTGTTTAAAACAAGTTGAATCCTCTGAGGGAAGCAGTAACCAGAGTCCTGTTTCCATGGCAACCACAGCTTCTACTGATCTTGAGGACGACATTCCTGAAGCCTCTATAGTACATTGTTATATCAAAACTGACAATACCCTTCTCAAAAATGCTGGTGAAGAGATATTAGTGGGAGGAAAGAAATACATTGCTATAAGGGACACAGGATCTCAAATTTCTATAGTACATTCTGATTCGATAGCCCAGGATGACATAATTCCAGGCAGAACTATGACCCTAAACTGATCTATACAGTTTAGCAAACTCCTACGTAAACTTAGTGGGAAGTTTTAGAAGAGGCAGCCATGTTAGTTTATGTTGGCATATCAGGAAAAAACCAAACAAAAATGAAAAACAAAAGGTAAAAACATAATGGCACCTTAAAAACTAATTGCTATATTTTGTTGAAACCCTTTAAATACAGTGGGAGTTACATACATCAAAATACATGGGGATTTTGCTCCAGAGCTTTACTTGCAGATGAAAACCTTCCTCACTGAGATCAAAATATCTGTTTGACAAGGAGCACATGCTGTCGGTGCCTAGGGAAATCCTAGAAGCTCTCAGGGAAGTGTCAGACTAGAATTTATATGGGACAGACTTGACTGACCCTCCCTAAGTAATACTAGATGTAGTCTGAGGATGGCAACTGTGTGACCCTACAGATATTGTTAGACTGGAGCTTCTATCATCCCTTGCAACTGGGTGCCTTGATTATGGATGATAGGCATTGGAATCTAACACATGAACCACACATTCCCAATCTTCTCCCATTGCTTATACTGTATAGATTTTCCAGTGTAAAGTTTGCATGTTAGAAATGTCATCATGTCCTCTCATGTAATTGGTGGCTCAGCCTTCTCTATGGGTCACCCTGAAAATCTGTTGCTCTATTTTTTTAGGCAAATGTTTTGTGCAAACCTTCTCTGCACTTTGTAACTAACACCTATTTTGTGGACAATGCATATATATTGTGCTTTCTTCTTCCAGTCATGTAAGGAATTACTGTTGCATACTTCTTTGAAATCACTAAATAGGCCATCTATAAACATTTATTTGTAAATAAAGAAATAAATAGTAAATAATTCTAACACCGGTCTAAAGAAATTTCCACACCAGTATAAATCTAAATTTCTAAGCTAGTGCAGATTTGGGACTAGGCAAATCTATATTCAAATCCTGCTCAGTCACCAAGCTCATAAAATGATCTTGGACCCTCAACACTTTCCAGCATCCTCTTGGTGCTGTGTACAGCTGGATTGCAGTGCAATATTTCTCTCATAATAAAGCCTTGCAATACCACCTTGAGTCAGCAGGTGGCACCCACAGCCAGACAACACGAACCTTTTGGAATTTCGGAAAGGGATTTATCATTTTAGAACAGCAGAGCTGGAAGGGACCCTACGGATCATGAGTCCAGACTCTGTCAAGCAGGCACAGTGGAGGAATTGATTCCCACCCACTGGCTCTGCAGCCAGATATCTAAATGCTATCCAGCAGTTCATAAGATCTCTCGCATAGCAATAGTGAGTAGAATTGCAGAAGGGCTTGTATGTATATTTGTAAAATGCAGCTTTTGCAAAATGCAATGGAAGAACATTCAAAAGCCCAGGGTTTCAAATTTAGCATCTAGAAATAGTTAGGCAAGTGGTAGACAGGTTTTTCATACATTTTTGGGAGGAGGCATTTCTTCTACCAATTTTTTTTCTCTGGTCACAATGCATAAGTGTGCCTTCAAGTCAATCCTGACTTATGGCAACCTTGGGGCACCCTAGGACTGTGCAGCTTGCCCAAGGCCACCGAGGCTGGCTCTTTTTCCAGGAGGTACAGTAGGAAATTGAACTCCCAGCTAGGTAGCTCAGTAGGTTTGGGATCTAACTGTGAAGGCAGAGGTTGCGAGTTCAATTTCCTACTGTACCTCCTGGAAAAAGAGCCAGCCTGTGTGGCCTTGGGCAAGCTGCATACTGTATATATATTCTTACTGGTGGTTTAAAGGTATCACTTCTTCCTGCATCTGTACTGTTTCTACAGCCATGCGGCCTTACCCTGATCTTTCCGAGCCAACTATTGTTTGTGCTAGATGCTTGGAAATGCAGTCCAACAACATCTGGAAGGTTCATGTTTGCCTTTGTATCACAAAAGGCAGCTGTTTGTTTGTTATTGTGCTGCTGGGGATGAATGTGGAATTTTTCTGGCTCATGTGCTAGAATAACTTGTCCAGCTTTCAGTGCTAAGTATCTTGACTTAGTACTTGTGTGTAGGAGGGTTTAATTTGTTGCTCAACCTCAGACAGCAGCAATGTGTCTCTCTCTGGTTCCTCTTCCTCCACTTCCTTACATCTGGATAGTGCAGGTGTGCATGACCATGGTCTATAGTGCATACATACTCACTGCCAATGTTGATGAGGGGTTGTGACAATCCCTTGTGAGGGCCTTCACAAATGACCCTTGTATCTTGCACTCAGAATGATCCACAGCAACTGTATGCCATTTCCACTTCCGATTTACACCTAGTTTTATGGGGACGTGGTGGCGCTGTGGGCTAAACCGCAGAAGCCTGTGCTGCAGGGTCAGAAGACCAAGCAGTTGTAAGATCGAATCCACGCGATGGAGTGAGCTCCCGTTGCTTTGTCCCAGCTCCCGCCAACCTAGTGGTTCGAAAGCCTCAGTATCCCTGATTCCTCTTCCTCCACTTCCTTACATCTGGATAGTGCAGGTGTGCATGACCATGGTCTATAGTGCATACATACTCACTGCCAATGTTGATGAGGGGTTGTGACAATCCCTTGTGAGGGCCTTCACAAATGACCCTTGTATCTTGCACTCAGAATGATCCACAGCAACTGTATGCCATTCCCGCTTCCGATTTACACCTAGTTTCAGAGAAATACTGCTTTACTGAACCCGGAGGAATCCAGATCTCAGAAACTACTGTCACATTTTGCCCCCGTGTGTCCACAGCAAAATGCCTGTCACTCATTTATTGCATCACATACAGGCTTTACTGGTTAGGTACTGGAATTCTTTAACACAGGTGGTATGGTAGGTTTATATTCAGAAAGGGTGACATGTGGCAAGACAAATTCTCACTCCTGATGTTGTAGGACAGAGCTGTCCTGGTCACTTGGCCTGGCCTGGAAATACTGCTTTATTGAACCTGGAGGAGTCCAGATCTCAGAAACTACTGTCACATTTTGCCCCCGTGTGTCCACAGCAAAATGCCTGTCACTCATTTATTGCATCACATACAGGCTTTACTGGTTAGGTACTGGAATTCTTTAACACAGGTGGTATGGTAGGTTTATATTCAGAAAGGGTGACATGTGGCAAGACAAATTCTCACTCCTGATGTTGTAGGACAGAGCTGTCCTGGTCACTTGGCCTGGCCTGAGTCCCTTAAGCCAGTGCTTCCCAACCTTGGATAACCCTGGTGCTCTTGGACTGCAACTCCCTCCAACCTTGGATAACCCTGGTGCTCTTGAACTGCAACTCCCAGAATCCTTTGCCACTAGCTGTGCTGACTACAGTTCAGTTCCGCTACTACTGTACTTGATATAAGGAAGGGGCAGCATCCACTGTATCCTTTGATTCGGAAATAAATAAATCTAAGACCCACTATTTTATGATGCAAGTCTACTTAGAGAAGAGTTGCCATAAGAGAGAGAGAGAAGCTTTTTGTGGCCATAGGATTCTCAAGCCCCTTAGAGATACAGGTGGCAAAGTTTTGACTTTTTATTATAAGACTATAAACATCCTTAAAATGGCAGCCAGTATTCTCAGGGAGTCAAATGGAGCTGTAGGGAGACTCTGGGGTCACGAAATTGTATGAAATAAGTGAGACCTGCCAAAGGATGTGGCACAAAGTGTTTCTTTTCGAGGTTTCAGCCAGTCATACCCTCTTTAAAGATACTCAGATCGACTTCCATTCTCTCCTAGCTGTCCATAGTGTATAGCCATTTCTTATGTTTTCCTCACAGGTCTGTTTTGCAGTTGGATGCTGCTGCCTGTTCAGGGTTTGTGCTTCTGCTCTTCTCTCTTTCTCTGTCTTTCTGCAGGTCAATGCTCGCCCCCCATGCCACTAATAGAGCAAATTATCATCTTTTCACTTATAAACAGAATTACAGCCTTTTTGCCTATTTGTTACAACAGTGACACACAGTGTTTCTAGAATGAAGGCTCCTCATTCATTGTGGAACCTATACTGCCTTTTACATTTATAATATGATTTTGTCTTTATTCGCTGGAATTTGCCCTCCTCTTTCCCTTTCTTCCTTTTATTTTCTCTTCTCTCCTTCTTCTCCCCTTTTGAGTTTTTGTGTTATGTAAACACAATTGTTTCAATCTTTTACTGTGTGGTATGGCAAACAAGAGGTCAAACAAACCCCTCAGTGTCATAGTATGCTGTACTATCATATGGAGAACTTTGTTCTTCCATTTGCTGTGCTGATTAGTGTTGATTGAACAGACCTTTGGGACACCTCAGGAATACCTTCAAGCAAGGGCCTGAAGTAATCAAGCACTGCTGAGCAAAAATCTGACTGGATGCAAAGATATGTTGGATCTATTAAAGGTATTATGGTGTTCCAGTAGTCAAGTCTCTAAAGTAATTTAGTAATCACTGAAAAATCAAAACTTAGATGCTCTGAAGTCACTAGCTGGCCATCACCACATAATAAATACTTCTTTTCATAATGTGCCAAACATTTGGGTGGCTTCTTTGAAGTTTGGCCATAATATCATATTCGCTTGATCTCATTGCAACTGGATTTATGATCTTGTGATGGCTGGCTTGTGACTTGAGAGCATCTTGGTTTCAGTCCATCAGGAATCACTGGACCTTAACTCTAGAGCCGAGCTAGGTAGCACAGGCTTCTCCAGATATTGCTTAAGTACAGCTCCTATCATCACTCACCATTACACTAGAGCAGACTGGAACTAGAGTCCAACATCTGGAGGACCCTCACTGCTTCTGTATTAGGCAGAGGGAAGAAACTGCCTCGAGCAGCAGATGTGGCATGTTTCTCTGTGTGCAAAAACAATTTTGCATGCCCTCTCCTGATAGCTTACACATAGCTGCTTCCCTCATCTCTGATGGAAGATATTGCTATCTCATTAGAGAAATATTTGTCTGGGGAGTCAGTGAAGGGGCACAATCTTGTGCTTCACCTCAGGAAGCAAAGTGCCTCGACTCAGGCCTGTTTTCAGATATCTGAGCTGTCTTGAAGCCCAACATGGCCCCAGCTGAAAATCACTCTCAGCCAAGTTTCACCAGATGTGTCTTCCCTTTAATATCCAAGGAAGCAATGACGAACATCAACTGCTTTGCTACTCTGGCACTAATGCAGAACTTAGGGAAGTTTCACATTGGAAAAGAGGTTGCCAAATGATATGTGGACATTTACAGTAATCCCTGTATTCTTGGAAAAGAGAAACTGCAATGGCTCTAGTAAAGTGTGCTGGTTATATACCGGGCTGGCCCATAGTGCTTAAAAACGCTCTGGGTGGTTTACAATTTAATTATGCAAGCTACACATTGCTCACCCGCCCAGCAAGCTGGGGTCAGTGGCAGCGGCGAGTTGATCCCATATTCAAGGTCCCCAAGAAATGCAAATAGTGAAGAAATAGTTGTGTTAGAATGCACCTGAATTCTAAGCCTGGTCACCTCAAAAATCCCTGTTTGCATCCCTCCTCAAGTAAAATCAGATCAGTTACTGTATCTCATTAGGCTGTGCTTTCGCTGCCTACATGCATATGCATTTCCTGGTGGGCACAGAGCTTAATTAATAATGTTTATGAAAAAAGCATGCCTCATGTATTTTTCATAACGCTGGCCACCCTGATTATTCTCAGACCACCACGATTCAAAATTTCTGGCTTCAGGTTGGATTTGTTAGATATCACCCAGAGAGATATTTACCAGTAGATCTCCATCTGCCTTCTGCCCACCCTTGCCTGAGGCAACCCTTCTCATAAAGGTAAAGGTTCCCCTTGAAGCATGCCTCATGTATTTTTCATTGAATAACGCTGGCCACCCTGATTATTCTCAGGCCACCCCGATTCAAAATTTCTGGCTTCAGGTTGGATTTGTTAGATATCACCCAGAGAGATCTTTACCAGTAGATCTCCATCTGCCTTCTGCCCGCCCTTGCCTGAGGCAACCCTTCTCATAAGGCCTTGCAATTTCAGTTCCAACCATTAGGGGGCAGTCAGGGTTGGAGAACAATTTGTGTTCTGGTGCTCCAAGGAGCAATAGAGTTGGAGGGCTTAATGCCATTATAGGTGAAAATGCAGCTTGCTGCAGTTGGGAAGTTATTAGGAAGATGAGGCTGTCAAAGCCGTCTGGATAGCTCAGTGGTTTAGGTTGTGAGTCCAATTCTCCACTGTGCCTCCGGAGACTCGAACCAACCTGTGTAGCCATGGGCAACCTGCATAGTCTCAGGATGCCCCAGAAGGGAATGGTAAATCATTTCTGAGTGTTCTCTACCTTGAAAAGCCTGGAGAGGGTTGCCATAAGTCAGAATTAACCTGGCGGCACATTATTATAATTATTTTCTGAGTATTCTCTACCTCGAAAAGCCTGGAGAGGGTTGCCAAAAGTCAGAATTAACCTGGCGGCACATTATTATAATTATTAGAACGTCAGAAGAGGCTAGCTGCCATGCATTATTCATTTCTATGTGTCTTGTTTTCCATATGCCCCCACTCCCTTTCCCCAAAGAAGACATCAAAACACCAGAAAGGCAGTAGCAGGCATATCACTTGTTTTTAATTTCCACCCCTCTCCACCCTACCCCATCCAAACACACATGCACACATTTTCCTGGAAGTTACCCCCCACAGAGAGTAGATGTACACAAATAAGTTAATAATTAAAGTGGCAGCACAGGATCAGACACAGACTGCAGCTGGAAAGAAGGGAGGCAATAAATATGAAGAGAGGAAAAGAAACAGAGAAAAGCGGGGGGGGAGGGGGATTCCAGAAGCAAACGTACACTGTTTTTAAAATGTGTTCTTAAGGAACTCAAAGGTTGCTCAAGGGTTTTATCAGACATTACCTAAATAAACCAGCTGGTAACAGTGAGCAAACCTCCCACATCTTCCCAATTCTCCATCCAGCTTCTAGCCAGGAGGAAATACTGGGCACATTCAAGACTGCATGGAGCAATGATGAGGCTGAGCAGGTGTGGCTGATGTCCCACACATGTAGAGGCAATGTGCCCTAAAAACATGCCCTATGATTCCTCCTCCCCCCCCGCATCACATGCAAAGCAACCTTGGCAGGTGTGCTGTGATGGGAAAGGTTTCCTTAGGGTACACACTTTGGAAAAACCCTGATCTAGCAGTCAACACACAGGGAAGGGCCCACTGAGGTCCACGCTGTATTTCAGTGCTGCAGAACAGAGGATTTGTAAGACGGTTCTAATGGAGGACTCCCACATCACCTGAGCCCCAGTTATGAGAATCACTCCTGCCCTTTTCTGATCCACTGAGGCCTTTGCGGCCATCCCGTCAAGCATGGAGTTTGTTGCCTGCCAGTCCTCATATGCTTGACTTAACCCAAGCAGTGGTTAACATCCATTTCTTTCTTCCGGTGAGAATAAGGCACAAGAACGTTATCTCTCCCAGTAGCAAATGGCCACATATTGTAGTCATGGCAATGTGTTTTGTCGACACTTGGCTGGAACACAAGCAGAACCAGCTGCGCTAGGCAGATTACCTGTCAATCAGCAGGATCCACACACACCCTTCCTCCTGTCCAATGGGAACACTGCGCGCGCGCACACACCCTTGGCCAATGAGAGGCCACATTATGCCTAGGGAATCACACCAATCCATGGCTGAGCCCAATGTGGACCAGAGGTGGCCATGTGTTGATTAGCTGAAGTGACAATCAGGGACTAGGCCCCTGTTCCTCCTTACGTCCGGCCAGTGCGAGAGAGGAGGGTGCAGACACATGAGGTGTCTATCCTAATCCAGCGCCAGGCCACTATCTTGTCAGAATCCATTGTGAGGGCTCTCACGTATGACTGTTTCGCCTTGCACTCCGAGATCCAGTGGCGCCGGTCCACACCTCTGCAGCCATTGACCGTGCCACCCGCTGGATTACACTTGGTCTCAAAGAAATATTGTTTCAGCGGGCCTGTCAGCGTCTGGACCTCAGAAAGCACTGTCACCGTTCTGCCACGGATGTCCACAGCGGTCCGCTTGTCTGTCACCCAGACATTGACGCTGTCACACACAGACATCTCTCCCCGGCGTATGGAGCTATCCAGTGACCTTTTGGACTTGAGTGTCTGGTTAGCAACCTGCCCTGGTTGGATGATGGACTCTTCCATAAGAAAAAGCAATGGGGGCCCCGCAGGTTCATGGTCTGAAAGGGCGACCCGCGGAGAGAAAAGGTCCCAGTCCTTCATGGAGTCATTAGCCCAGAGGCCATCAGTGGTGTTAGAAAGGGCACTGGCATCAGGAAGTGGGGCGGCACGGATGACACAGAGCAGTGAGGTGACCATGGCATGGAGCAGAATAAGCATCACTCCCTGCACAGCGGGAACCTAAGAAAAGATTGAGTAAATATTAATCTCAAATGCATACATACACTCCATCCATCCATCCACCCATCTGTGTAGACACACAAACATATATGCTTGTCTGAAATGGTCTAGCATCACATTTTGGAATGCAGTTCACTCATTCCATGTGGTCTGTATGTGTGAAGAGATAAAGTAAATTTATTAAGTTTAAGAAAAACACAAACCTGTGCACAGTTGCCCAAGCACACTTATTTCACTAGTGCTTATTCTGAATGCATAGGCTAATCTTGTAGTCGTACAATTTGAAAGCCAAGTATCAAAAACTCTCAACTTTTTAATTGACAGTCAAACAACTGGACAAAAACACATTACAAAATTTATTCCATCAAAGGAGATGACAAATGTCTCCAGGCTCTGTTAGATTAGTTTTTGTCTTCTCTAACTTCCCCTGTATCAGCCTTCTAAACACAAACAATAGTAAAACTTGAAAGCATCATTATCAGTTCATTTAATTGTCAGTGTAGCGAATTCTCTGTGTTGTTCTGACAGATGATATCTCTACCACTGTTCTAGAGGGAAAAAAGGCTCAGATTTTTCTTCCCCCTTGTTCCACTTGTACTATGTCACCAGTAGTCTGTTGGCTAAATATTGGTATAATGCAAGTCTGTCTTTTATACTATCCTGTCCTCTCCATTACATTCAGCTTCTATGGCCCAGCCAGTGCTTGTTCCAGGATTAAGGACCTTTGACAGGCGCTGTATTGTTTGATTAATTTTTAGCAGCCAAGATGCTGCCACAGTATTAATTTTCCCAAAACATCATACTGCAGGGCTATCAGGCCGCTTTATTGAAAACAGATGGGTCTAGCCCCAACAAAAAGATGTTGGCATTCATAATATCACAGAATGGAATGTCCAGGCAGCAACTGAACACATTACTTTTAGGGCTACAACTTCCAGAACACCCCCCCCCCAGTTGTTTGGATGATCATTTGTCTCATTTAAGTTACTCACTGAATGACCATTGTTTTAAGCTTGACCTACCCTCATAGGTTTGTTTCAATATAAAATGGGGAGGAGGAGAGCGATCTATATCACCCTGATCTCATTCCAGGAAATGTGGCATATAAATCATAGAATCATAGAGTTGGAAGGGGCCTGTAAGGCCATCGAATGCAACCCCCTACTCAAGGCAGGAATCCAGATCAAAGCAGATCTCACAGAGGGTTGCCCAATCTTCTCTAGAATGCCTCCAGCATTGGAGCACTCACCATCTTCCGAGGTAATTTGTTCCTATGCCGTACTGCTCTAACAGTTAAGAACTTTTTCCTGATATTCAGACTAGATCTAACTTCCTGTAGCTTGAGATCATTATTACATGTTCTGCACTCTGGGGTGATCAAGTACAGATCCCGCCTTTCCTCCGCAGGACTACCTTTCAAGTGTTTGGAAAGTGTTATCCTATCACCCCTCAGTCTTCTTTTCTCAAGGTTAAACATGCCCAGTTCGTTTAGTCCTTCCTCACAGAGCTTGGTTTCAAGTCCCCTGTTCATCCTTGTTGCCCTCCTCTGAACTTGTTCCTGTTTGTTGTCATCCTTCCTAAAGTGTCCAGAACTGGACACAGTACTCTGGATGAGGCCTAACCAGAGCTGAATACAGGGGAATTACAGTAGTACCTCATGGGATTTGGAGACTACTCTTCTGTTAATGCATCCTAAAATCACATTTGCCTTTTTTGCAGCCATATCACACTGTTGGCTTATATTCAACTTTTGATCTACAGCAATTCCAAGATCCTTCTCACTTGTAGTATTACTGGGCCAAGTAATACCATGTTTAATCTGAAAAACATACAAACAATGAACAAGCCGTTCTGGCTAGCCCAAACTCTCACAAGCTAAATGTTCTCATTATTTGTTATTACAAATTATAGGGCTGGTAAATGAGGGACCTCCAAAATGCCTTATCATTAACAGCCCTAATCAGGCCATTGTTTTGGTAAATGAGGGACCTCCAAAATGCCCTATCATTAACAGCCCTAATCAGGCCATTGTATTATAAATAAAAAAAATAAAAATGAACGAAGCCCAATTCATTATTTAATCAAAACTATATGATGCCTTACCTATTGTAATAAATATCAACAATTGTAATTTTTTTCTTTTCTTCACATTTTCAGTACAGATATTAAAAGCAGGTGGAAAATAGTTCAGTTTTGATTAGCAAAACAGTCCCTTGAAAGCAAGTCACTTTTGCAACTAAGACATTAAAGCACAAACCATGCTATTCTATATCTGCCTACTCAAAAGTAAACCCCAGTGAGTTCAATGGGAATTGATCTCAGGTAATGAGCTGAGGACTGAAATCTTAACATTGTAGTATTGGGACATTATGACATGAGGCCCCTTGTTTGCCATCTAGGCTAGCATCTGCTGATTTTTTTTTCTTTAGGTAGCTGCAAATTTACCTCAGATTCCGTCCTAGAGTCATATAACTACACTGGAAGAGCTAACTGATACATAAAGATTGTTCTGGTGGTGCAATAGCTGTATGTTGAATAGGCTAAACAGGGGGCTTTACAGGAAGTATAGCTATAAGGATGCACTTTGCTGATGCGATGGCAAATTTAAAAAACAGAATAATTTATTCTGTGGTGATGGGCTGCTAGTCACCCCAGAGTAAGGAAAAAAGAGACTTGAGAGCTAGTCACCTCAGAGTGAGGAAAACAGAGACTATCAGCCCACAGTGGGCTGGGTCCTGAGGAGTGGTGACTAGAAATGGGGGTATTCGTATATGAATATGACTAGAAATGGGGTATTCGTATATGAATACCCCTGCACAAGTGGAGATAATGAGGGTCCAGCCCAAGGTCCACTCACCTATGTGCTAATGCCACGGGGTCCGCGCTCCTGTCCTATCGCTCCGGAGATCGCGATCGCTGAGTCACTCTTCAACCTGGTAGAGAGGCTTGTCATCCTGCCTCCTGCCAGGAGTGGCTCAGCCATCACAGTCTCCAGAGCGATAGGATGGGAGTGCAGACCCCATGGCATTAGCGCATCGGTGAGTGGACCCGCAGACCCCATGGCATTAGCGCATCGTTGAGTGGAACGTATGGCCCCATGGGGCCGGACCCTCGTTATCTTCACCTATGCAGGTGTATTCATAAACAAATACCCCCATGGTGGCCATTCATGCCTGCTGTCTCAGCGCTGCTTTCCCCTTGTAGCTGAAGCAACATATGCGTGCCATACCTTTTATGTGTCTGACCTCCCTCAGCATCCCCAAACCTAAGATACAATATGACGGGCCAACAGCAACAATTAGGATGGCTGCACAGTCTGAGGGCTTGTATATGAAGTTGGAAGGACTTCCAGTTAGCTGTGGGCAGTGATGCCAGAGGTGTCACTGCTTTTAGAGACAAGGCATCAGAGTTGGCAGGTAGCCACGGCAACCACCCCACGAAGCTGAGGAGGTCTGAGGCAGCTAACGATATAGGCCTAAAAGTGGAATGGGATGATCAGGGCTGGCAGGTGGCAGTGACAGCCCCAGCCAAAGCAACCACCCCACGAAGCTCCTGCAATGGAGGTCTGAGGCGGCTAACGATACAGGCCTAAAAGTGGAATAGGGAGATCAGGGCTGGCAGGTGGCAGTGACAGCCTGATTTCTGCTCACTCCTTCTCTAATCTAATATACTTTGAGGACAGAAGACTATCAGAAGGGGAAGTGTGATAAATGAAGTCAATGTACATAGGCATGCGTGTGTAGGGAGGGGGTGTTATTACCTGTGCAATCAGTCCTTCCTTAAGTCACTGCCAAGCAGATCCTGGGTTTCACTCATGACCCCTTCAGGCTGTTGCTTCTAAATAGTCCTTGATGCGAACCAACCAGCCTGGAAGGGGAGATTTTTGTAGTGGCAGAGGGGCAGGTCCACAGAGGTAGGGGCTGCCTCCAGTTGCTTTTCTGCCTAACAGGCGTCGATGCCTCCTTGAAGTTCATGTGCCTGAAAGCCTGGACTCCTGAGGGTCTCGCCAAAGTCCATGCTGCATCTTGGCTTTTCCACGGGGTGAGCGAGGAAGCTGAACCCCGGTCCAGAAGCAACTGTTTTCTTTTACTGCTGACAAAGGATGGGAAGATGTCAAGAGGTGTGGATGAGGTGAGTGGCTTGACATCACCCACAAGATCTGCCAAAGGAGAGAAAAGCAAACACTCAGTGAATGTGTCTTAGGAGTCTTAGCTTAACATTCCCCACTTTGATTCTAGAACTTCTAGAATATTTTAGAGTGAATCCTACATTACATTTTCCTCGCTCCAGTGCAGGTTGGGGAGCCATATGCAACACAGCATATGGCTCCTGGACATGTAATTGCTGTCTAGACAGAAGAAGACACTTGAGCAGGTATAGTTGCCACTCAGTCAGGTAAGTCCCTTTTTAAAAGGAATGGCCTAAAGAGAAAATCAGACTCGAATCCTAGTGGTCACAAAAAATGACTAAGGTTAAAGTGCAAATACTGTAATGTAAAAGAGATTTTAAACCGGTCTCTTAAGACACTCCCATTCTGTAAACTTGTAAAACATTCCCTAGGACTACTAACATAGTGTAGAATTTGATGTATGAAGGCACAATCAGAATTAAGCTCCATCAGTTGGGATCCAGATTAAAACAATCACATTGCTGGGTTTTCCAGATGGAAAAAAAGAGTTCATTTCTCTGTAAGAAAGCCTCTTTCTTTTTTAAAGGAAATTTAAAAAAGAAATATGTGAAAAGTACTTAATAAGTCCACTTCTCTGCTGAAACTTCCTTCTGGAGTCTGTTTGTTTGAAAGCTAATTGAAAGCTTCCAAGCCCAGAGGCTTCCAGTGCACATCAGCTTCAAAAGGTCAGCAACGTAGAGCTGAGTGCCACCTCCAGAACAAGGTAATGCTAAAAATAAACCATGTTTTCAGGAGGAATGAAAAGATACAGAATGTCACAGGAAAGTCACTATAAAAGCAAGACAAGAGGAACATTAGATGTGTTACTGGAACCAACCAATCATGAAAAACAAGCTCCGACATCCCAGAAAAATGAATGCTGAAACATGCCAAGACAATGCGGAGCAATGAAAACAGTGAAAGGAAATCTGACGTAAATAAATTGGGAAAAAGAAACATCTTTCTGAAGTCAGATACTTGGTGCTCGTCAACAATCATGTACGTCCTGAGCAAGAAATTCACTTGAATGCCAACATTTCAATTACTGAGATCCTCTCATCTTACTTTGGTTTCCAGATGTGTTGAAACCACTTCTGAATAGTAGTCTCTACCTGGAAAACCCAGGAAAGGGTTGCCACAAGTCAGAACTGACTTGACGGCGCATGATTATTATGCACTGCACTACAGCCTGCATCATTCTCAGCCAGCATAACCATCATGCATGGGGATGATGGGACTGATCTGGAGTATGTTGGATCGAGCTATACCATCCTCCACTCATAGTTCCGCATTTTAATTTTCCAGAAAGACTGGAAGAACGCTACCCACAGGTTTAATCCATCCCCTATATTGTTTTTATCTTGATAGATGAGTGGTTTCATATCTGGCTGTGGAGCCAGAGGTTGGGAGTTTGATTTCCCACTGTGCCTCCTGCAAGTACAGCCAGCCCATGTGGCCTTGGGTAACCTGCACAGCCCCAGGGTGCCCCCAGAAGAAGGGAATGGGAAACCACTTCAGCGCTTTCTCCACCTGAAGGACTCTGAAAAGGATCACTGTTAAGTCAGAATTGACTTGATGGCGCGTACTTATTATTATATTGCTTTCAAAATACATCAGAGAACAGAATAGGAGGGAGCATGATACAGCCTGTGGTTAGCAACATGCAGCCACTGAACCCCTTCTTTACGCCACCCCACATACACCCTGACACTACCCATGCTTCTGAAATCATTGCCAACATTGTATTTTAAAAAAAAACATTGTGTTTCCCCCACCTTCATTTCTGTTGCAATGGGGCACTGTGAGGCGTCTTGCCTGTGGTGCCACAGATCTCTATGGTGCAGGAGGATGCTCTGGCACTTCCTACAGCATGGAGCTAAAGCTGCTGTCAAGTTTGGGGATAAGAGTAGTAGCAGGGAGAAGGGGGTGGCCTCCCAACAGTGCAAGACAAGCAGGTGGGAAATGCAGCCTCCGAAATGCTGGAAAGTTGTCCATCTGTGCTTTAGAACTCACATCATTATGCAAAGCTGGGGGATTCTGGGAACTGTAATTAAAACAAACCAACAACCTTTCCCAAGTTCTGAACTACTATGTTTCAAAAAAATAAATAAATTAATCTCCACCTCATTCCTCACAGCCCCTCCCACTCCCTTCTGAAAAGAGGCTGAGGATTAGAGAACACCTTTCAGACCGAAGGCTCCCCACTGGTCCATCCTCTTCCATCCCAAGGGCAGCTGGGAAACATCAGGTGACGCCTCCAAATTCTGCAGCTGCGGGAGCCAGGGGAATGGGATCCAGATGTAGAAACATCTGGGGAGGACTACCAGATTGGGGGATGGGCTCCGGAGGATGGCTAATCCCTCTTGCCTTTGAAACTGACACTGATGGGGGCTCTAGCCCCTTCCCTTTCCTCCACTGCCAATCTCAGCTGAGCTGAACCCATCTTCTACCCACCCCACCCCCAACCAATATAGGTATTTTAATAATAAGGCACTTGGGACAGGAAAAGGTATAAGAGGGAACAAGGCAGAGAGGGCAGGAGGAGACTGCCATTTGAATGAGAGGGAGAGGCCGCATAGAAAAGACGGATACAGCAGTGGACAAGACATGAATAAACTGTGTGTAACCGGGAGGGGATACTGTACATGTCCATGTGCAAGCATGTGTTCCTCTTTAATCCACTGAGATCTCCTGACATTCCACACTCTGAGATGATCTGGTAGGCAGAACAACAACAACAACATTTTAGAACTGCAAAACTATAGGAGACCCTATGAACCATAAGGTCCAGGCCCGTCAAGGAGGCACAGAGGGGAACTGAAATCCCAAACTCTGGATCCGCAGCCAGATACCTAAAGCACGGAGCTATTCAGCATGAAGGGACCCAGAAAGGATAAGACTGCAGTGAGCAGACAGGAGCTAATAACGCTGTCTTCCTATGTCAGGCATAACCCTATGATGACAGGATCCCATTGCAACAGACTCTGAGTCCACAGGGCTCTAGAAGCATGATGTGTTATGCCCAGGTAATTATGTTATCGTGGGGGGGATCTTCTGATAGCCACTTAAAGCCCAGTGTGTTTAATCTGGCAGTACATGGAGTGATCTTTGTTTCAGAAGCAAAGTTAGAGCAGATGGGTCAGGGACCCACCTCTTCTGGGTTACTTGGAAGAAGAAAGCCAAACGTTTGCCCCTTGTTGCCCTCCATTTCCACCCACCCAAGCGTTAGGAAGGGCAGCCCTGGAAGTACACTCTGGCATCCCTTTGTTTACTAAATTATAACAGGGCGAGGCAAGGACTTCTGGGTTCTTTGGCAGGGGAGTGGTGCCTAGTGGCTAAGCAAACACGTCTTAAGACAGAGTTAAGCCTGACCCTTAGGCTATTTGCATAAGCATCTTTTTTCCCCCACAATGCCCAGCGCTTCTGACCTGGGCTCCCTCCCGTGCGAAAAGAGGTGGAAGGGTGCTGCTGTGTGTGAAGCTGCAGGCACTGCTCCCTGCAAAGAAACCAACCCCTGCTCCAAGGAGGTATGCGTAGCTTAGCATCGGGCAGGCTCCGACCTGCCACCTCCCAGCTGTAATGCTGATCAACAAGCAGGAAGCCGTGGCTTTGTTAAGGATGCCCACAGTTCTGGCCTGTACGTTCCACGGAGAAGCCTCCTCGTGTTTCATTCATTCCCTCCTTCCAGTGTCGCACAGGAGGAGCTGGACCGTCTACTTTAGCAACATGCTGTATCAACTTTTCCTTCAAGGAATCGCCAAATTCTGTGCAAAGGAACTGACATTATGTGGCCCATCCAGTTGCAATCTTTGCCAATTTCCCAAGTTTTTCCCCTTGCTTCTAGGAATAAAGTGTCACCAAACTCCAAAACAGAGTTTGGGAACGGGAAGAGGACAAGGTATGAACCATAGGGGAAAAGATTATATGGGGCAAGCAAAGAATAGTGAACTTGGGGAAGGAGGAAGAAAAGCAGAAAGCATGCTAAATGCTTAAGTACTACTGTTTAACTAATATCCGCCTCCCAAACCCCACTCCACCTTCTGAGAAGTCGCTTGCTCATTTTTCATGAGGACTGGAAACGTGCTTATGCTTAATTGAAAAACAAGGTTCTGTAAAGCACCTATTTCTGCAGCTGCGTTGATGCCGTAGAAATGGGCTATAATGAAATTTTAACAACCCTTAGGATGTCTTGCCAAGTCAATCAAGTACCTCTCAATTTGAAACAGACGTCTTGGTGTTTTTGCTACCCCAGGAACAGTGCTGACCCTACCAGTTAGTAGAGTGAGGTGTATGTTTATTGCACCTGCTTCTATAGCTGGTGGTTTTTAGGGTCATAGTGAAAAACAGTAGCAACCTCAAAATGCATTTCAGATGCCTGAAGTCAGTGGCTACACTTATTCTAAGCCTCCAGACTGGGTAGGAAGGTACAGTTATTTTCCTACGATACAGAGACAGAAAGATGAACACACACAGAGCAGAGTAAACCCCTTGCTACTGGCTTTCAACTGGTGGGATGGGAACCAGCATGGAGTGACACTTAAAGGTGTGTTGCAACAAAAGCATCACCACCCTACAATGATACAGTAAAAAAGATATGAAGTTTTCTCCAATCTGCCTCCAGAGATGTTTCGGACTAAAATTCCCATCCTGCCAGGACACGAAAGACTATTCCAGGTCTCTAAATGCATGTTTGGGCCAAAGGTGAGTCCTTAAACTGACAAAGTGAAAACTAGACTGTGTTCACAAATAAACAGGAGTTATGAGACTCACTTCCCACCTTTTGTGACCTAGTTCTGGGGGCAGGAGAGAGGGAGACTGACCAAGGAGCTCACAGACCCTTTTCTCAAGCTTCGTTGTAGGTCATATGCAATTATTCCTCAGAAGCATCTTTTTTTCTCTCTTGCCAACCTACTGGCTTTTCACTGTGACTCTAGTGAAAATAAATGAAATGGGCTTCGGGAATAAGCAGGCGTGCCAAGCTCATATCCCCTGGTAGGCACATTTTTAAAAGGAGATCATTGCCTCACTTGCGTTGAGAATAATGACGTGTCTTGCATTTACTCTAAGTTTTCTCCTGTTCCTGAAAGCTCCAGTCTTGGTTAACAATACAGATAACATTTTTATGAGATAATAAATACCAGCTTGCAATTTAATGATCTTCACCTTCACTATTATCTTGAAGTGTTTAGAAAGCTATTTTTAGGCACAGTAAATATAATGACATATTGAAACCATCCATAACAAAGCAGTGGAAATAGGGCACATGATGTTCTGGGTTCCAGTTTTGCATGGCTTCAGCATGTCCATTTTACTCCAATGTCCATTTGTCCTCCAAAGTAACTTCCCAAACTCTGCTTTCTTGTCATTCATTCTTGGTTACCATTTCTCAGCATTTGATTGTATCTGTTTAATATTACTGCAAATTGTCTCTTTCTTTTTCCTCTGTTGTTGAATTGGCACTCCAGCACACAAGATGGAAAGAAGGAAAAATACAGAAAATGGGACAGGATGTTTGCTCTGATGATCTTTGGGATCTTAGAACTGCAGAGCTGGAAGGGATCTTATGGATCACTGAGTCCAGCCCTTATCAAGGAAGCACAGTGCGGAATCAAACTGCCAACCTCTGGCTCCAATTCTTGCTGAACCCCCAGGAGTGGAGAACATTTCCTCCTTTCCAGACATTGCTGGTCTCCAACCCTCCTTAACCTCAGCCAGTATAACTAATAAGGAACAACTGCAGTCCAAATACTACCTACCTATCTCTGGAGGGCCAGTTTCCCACCCTGATATAAGCAATCTCAGTCAAATATTTATCCCTGAGTACGATGTGAAGTGAAATCTGAGTACAAATTCTGTTCTGTCAAGATGGTTTGGAGGGCTAGGGTCAAAATGGCCTAGATCCTGTCACATTGGACTGGATCCTCTTGCATTAGAGCCAGAAATGAGCAAATGGCCCCACGAGGATGTGTTGAACTCCCACCAGGCCTGCCTGCACAGCCAGTGGAAAGGAACCATCATCTCTTGTAGGATTACCTGTTCCTCACCCCCGCCCTAAGCTTGGGTAAAGCTTAGATTCTATATCACACTGGACTTTAACCCCTCTCCCATAGGGTGGGTGGTTTCCCCCTTGAACATGGCTTTGTTGGGGTTTTTTCCCCTTTAGAGACTGCAATCTACCTTGCTAAAATGATAGAAAGCCTGCACAGTTGGTCTGGATTTTTAATTAATCCAAAGAAAAGAACGGAGCCCTCGCCCGCACCCGTACTGCGGGCAACCCTGGCTTCCCTGTGTGGTTGAACGGCCCTCCCTTGAAGGGAACCCAGGCATCCTGCTTTCCATCAACAGCAGGTAATCCAAACCAGGCGGATGAAAGAGCGAACAAGCCAGGGGTATTTCCGCTTTTCCCTTTCGTCTCTTTCCAGCTGGTTTCTATCTAGACCCCTTCATAGGCACCATACATGCATGTGCCGGGGTGTGTGTGCGTGTATTAAGGCCAGTATACTGACCACGGGGCCTGTGGCATCTCTTGATCCCTGCCCACTACATTACCCGGGTAGGATGCTAGCATGAAACAGCCTAGACACAAATGCCAAGCAAGGAGTAGTGGCTGAACAAGTGAAGGCCTCCTGGGCTCTCTGAAAGAGGACCGAGGTTTAATAGGATGGAAGAGGGTTGCAGGAATGTTTGGGGGGGAGTGTTGGGAGGTGTGTGGCGTTCCGTGCGCTTGTGCGCGTCTCTTCGGTAGGAATTCTCTGAACATCCGGTCGCCTGGGTTCTTTAGACGAGAGAGTAAGATCTAGTGCGGCGAATGTAGGAGTCCCGGACGCCTGGGTCCCTTGGAAGTAGTGCCTGCGCACCTGGGTTATCTGGGAGTGGGGAGGGTCAGGCACGCTCGGGTGAGGTTCCTAGCACCCTATACACCGGGGATCTTTAGAAAGGGAGTGAGGTCTAGTGGTTGGGGGGGGCTCTCTTGGAGAAACGCTTCGGACGCCTGAGATGGGATGTCTTGGCTCTCTTTCAGCCCCTTGCCTCCTACCTTGAGGGTGCCCTCGCTGCGCCCCAGGGCGTCGTCTTCCTGGCCCCTGGCATGGCCGGGGAGGGGCCCCCTCCTCTTCCTTCTCCAACCAGACGGGCGCCCGTGCAGAGGGGGACTCGCCCGCCGTTAGGATCTCATTTGCCGTTCAAGCGAGCGTAAAGGCTGCTGGAGGGTTGGGGGGGGAAGCGGGGGGGGAAGCTCGGCTCCTCCAACAGGAGGGCGGGGTAGGTGGGTAGGTCTCCGAGAGGAACGAATGGGACGGGATTGCGCGCGGAGAAGGGAAAGACCCAGGTGGTGGTGGAGGAGGAGGACTGGCGGAACAGGTTTGAAGGTGCCGGAGAAGACAAGGAGGAAGGAAGGAAGGAATCGGCTAGGGAAGAAGTGCAGGAGGAGGGGTGGCGGGAAGGCAGGCGGGGGGTAGGAAGGTGGACCGAAGACGCAGCCCCGGCGCTCGGCTCCCTTCTCGCGCCTTCCCTCCGCGCAGCTTGTCCGATCTTGCCCTACCTGCCTGCCGGGACTCTCCAGCCGCCGCCAAGCGGCTGACACGCTCCGCCAAGGGCCCGCCAGACCCCCACCGAGCCCCATACCTGACATCCGCGCCCACTCACGCCCCGCCGGCGTCTTCACGGCGAGGAGTCGGTGCCAGATCCACTTCTGCGGCGGGAGGGGAGGAAAGAAGGGACGAGCGGCGTCAAGGGGGCGATGCAGCGCAGCGGGATCCGGGATCAATGAGGACTAGCCGCCTGCCGCTTGGCGGCGAGTGAAAGATCGCAGTTTCTCTCCTTGGGGGGGGGGGTTAAACTCAAGCTCGTCGGCTGGAAGGTGGCCCGAAGCCCTTCCTTTCTCCGGACCCGAGACCATTAAGTCCATATGCGGCGTCTTCTCGCCGCCGGCTTCCCTGGGCTCCGTTTTGCCAGTTATCCCGGGAAACCTGCAGGAGGGCGAAAGGGGAGCGAGTTCAGGAGCAGAGTCGCCGAGGGAGGGTGGGGGAGGGGCGAAGGGGAAATGGGCGGGAAGACACGGAGGGGCTGATGATGATGATGGCAGGGAAGGCGTTTTCCACAAAGATACTGTACCCAACGACATCCCAGTTAATCCGGACTAGAAAGCCGAATGAAGCCAGTGAAGCTGGGTGTCTCACGTGCAGGTTCGCACCCCTAAATGGAAAAGAGAGTGGTGGGCTGCTCGGGAGAGAGATTGCAAACGAAAGCTGTATTAAAACAGTCCTAGGCTCTACATTATATAGAGAAGTGGTTGTTCAGTGGTGTCTGACTCTCCGTGACCCCATGGACCAGAACACGCCAGGCCCTTCTGTTTTCCACTGCCTCCCAGAGTTGGGTCAAATTCATGTTGGCTTCGGTGACACTGTCCAACCATCTCGTCCTCTGTCGTCCCCTTCTCCTCTTGCCCTCACACTTTCCCAACATCAGGGTCCTCTCCAAGGAGTCTTCTCATGAGAGAAGGGGACTCACAAGGGCCTCCTCCAGCACCACCATTCAAAAGCATCAGTTCTTCCGGTCAGCTTTCTCTATAGAGACGTTAAGAAGCCCCATATCATTATCTCATATATGTGTTAGTCCAACGTTCATGTACAATATTTTGGTGCAAATATTCCAACGATTATACGTATTAGAGTAGCAATTAGAAAAAATAACAATGTAAGTTTTAAAAAAAATAAATAAAAATAAAATAATGCGGGCTTTATAGCATAGGTGTAGAGAAACTGGTCCAGAAGTGTGACAGACACGATCTGTGACCCCTCTATCTAACATTTAGATGTGCTGAGGTGATTTTTGACACCTTTAAAGTTTGCCTGCAGCTGCTTGGCCCCACCAAACGAAAATCTCTGCTGTTCAGACATTCATGAAAGGAACGTGGCCTTCCCATTTGGGCAGACAGAGGAGGGATTCTTGGGCAGCTACACCAGAGGTGTCAGGAAAAGGGAGCAAAATACCCAGTATTTAATTTATTGTGATTGCATGTTCGTTGTTACAGAGTGATGCTGATGGGATTTCCTGCGTCAATTACTTGCCATACTTGGAAGGTATGTTGTTATGCGTCTTGGTGGGGTGTGGGGGGAGGCATTTTATCTTTGGAGCCTCAGGGTGGAAAACGTATCTGTCTGTCCTTTGTAATCCTTTCAGATTTGTGGCATAAGCTTGCAAGCCTACTTCCACCCCCCAAGTGTATTTAGGACAGCAAACTGGTTTTTTTTCAGTGCCAGAGAACTGTATGTGTATGTTGTTACAAGAGACTGATGTGGCTTCCCCATGGAACTTGAGGCCTAAAGACATTTATCAGCTTTTGTTATCTAGACAAATAAATAAATAAAAAAATAAATCTGACCCCAGGATGCTACTATCATGTGTATTTGATATGTAACTGGTCTCTCTTTTGCTTTCATTAAAAGGTGTCTACAAGTGCTTTCTCAGAAATGATGGGAGTCAGGCCAGAGTGGCAGTGAAATGGTTTCAAAAGGAAAAACAACAACAAAATAATTTTTCAAGAGCGTTGGGAAAATGTACGTAGCCTTTTAATCTTTTCTTAGTCACTATTTGCCCTCATTTAAACCAGTACGTGACCCTACCGACATTATGAATAGATTGTCCCTACTGTGAAAAAAAATCTGCAAATAGGCATTTTCAGCTACAATGCATATTCCAACTAGATATTAAAAAGTCTAGAGTAATTATTGTTATTCATATTTTCATATTCATCTCTTCCTACATACAGATGTTCAGTTATTGATATATTTACTTATTTATTTCTGACTCATCTTCCAACTCTCAAAAGGCTAAGAATTTAAGTCCTTAAAGCAACTTGCATGCTTTAGAACATCGCACACAGCAAAATTTAAGAACAAAAAAGCAGATTTTAAGTGGAGGGTTGGAAATTCAAAAGGCAAGATTGACGAAATAGTTCTAACAAACTGTCTGTAACTGTACTCTAAAACAGTGGTCCTCAACCTTGGGCCTCCAGATGTTCTTGGACTACAACTCCCAGAAGCCTTCACTACCACCTCTGCTGGCCAGGATTTCTGGGAGTTGAAGTCCAAGAACATCTGGAGGCCCAAGGTTGAGGACCACTGCTCTAAAAGAACTCAATGAAATTCCTTAGGGAGAAATTTCTAAAATTGGGAAGTGTCCCACAGCAGGTCCTGTCCTGTGTTGCTAACAACTTAGCCTCTTGTGGTGATGGAATATACAGAAGGGCATCAGCAGCAGATCTGTTTATTTATGATAAATATCCCACATTTCCTCCAAGAAATGGAAGGGTCCCTTCCCCACTTTGTTTTCACAACAATACTGTGAAGTACATTCATGGTGAATAGTGATTGACCTCAGCCAACTTCCTTGTCCTAGTCCTAGATTTACAAGAGGTAGCCATGTTGGTCTGTGCTAGTATATCAGGCAAAAAAAAAAAGATGAAATGTTGTGTGCAGCTTAAAGACTGACTGCTATATTTTAATGTGAGCTTTTGTGAAGAAGTCCCCTTCATCCACCACACTAACCACTATACCACCCTTTTCACAGGTTGCCGTTAGCACAGGCAGTTTTTAATTAATTAAAGTTTCTTTTTTCATCCAAACCACCAAGCAATGGTTATCAATTTTGCAACATATTAGGAGGTTAAACCAACTTAAAACTGTGGCTTAATAACCTGGCTAGTTACAAAGCTGGTGGACACAGTTTTTCATGTCAGGTAAAACAGAAAAGTAGAACTAAATACAGACTCCTCGTCAGAAGAAAGCCTAATTCTTCTTATGTGAACCCTAGAACTTTGCCTCCAATCCCATACTGCTTCCAATACCATCTACTCTACTGCAACTCATGATATGCACCACATCTTCCAGATGGACATAAGATAGAAACAAATCCAGCTCTCCGCACCCAGGATTGCTCAACATTTTGTCTATTTCTTCAGATCTAATACATGGTTAACTTCCAATCTTTGCCACCACAAGATGTGAGAATAGGCATTCACTGTGTCTTATAGTCCATAGGCAGCTCCATGTGACCAGAAAGCGTAAGAGGTGAGTTTCCTCGCCTTCACATTCAGACTACAAGTCATCCCTGTCCGGGTTCATAAATATAAGCAGGATGAAATGGTGCAATTCGGAACAATGGATCTTGTGGCACCTTAAAGACTAGTATGTTTCATTTGCCATAAGCCTTCATGGATAGTAACCCACCTCTTTTGTGGAATGTAAACTTACATCTAAAGAAGTGGGCTACAGCCAAATAAAACCTATTACTGTATATGCCAAGTACCTAATATATGATAGTCTCAGTTTGTTTGTTTTTTGCTGCAGCAGGCTGCTATTCCTCCTTAATCCTGAAGTGATAGAATGGATGATGCTATTTCACATTACAGGTAAGATTTACTCTTACTACATTTTTGCAGACGTAAAGCTGGAGATTAAAGTATAAAGCATGAGGCAGAACTTCTTTTTTCTTTCTTTTATAAATATTTTATGTATATAAAACATAGCAGACTGAAGAACAGATATAGCATAGAAATAAACAGATTTTAAAACTTGTAAGTAAATAGTGATATATAGTCTAATTGTTTAGAACAAATTCTTTCTGTAACCATTCTTATAATTTATAAATTGACAAATACGTATATGGACTCAGAGATCCCTAAGGTCCCTTCTCTGCAGTTCTAAGATTACTAATAAATATGATATCTTCT